CTTGAGATATTAGCAAAGGAAAAAACTATTGAGTTTATAACAAATGAGATAAACAATGACACGGAACAGTCACCTGCAAATCTCATGTGAGTATTATTTTCACAATAAGAATTAAAAAGTTTATTATATATTATATTACTTTTAGTAATTTTTAATTCATATGGATATTAAAATGCCATTTCAAAAATAAGCGTGCCAAATACCCCGTACCATTTGGTGAGAAGTGAAGTAATGGAAGATAAAATAATAAAGTTTGATGAACTGACATATAAACATGGAGAATTTGGTGAGATAATATGGGATGGTATACTTGTGAGATTAAAATTGTTAGAAAATTTTGAGATACCCGTTGATGAATATGCGGATTATATTAAACGGTTAGCACTCGAGGTACGCGTTTCTAATTTCACTGGAAAATAATTATCGTTAATTAAATATTAGTAATCATACGTACATACGTGCAAATTACAGTATTTCTTTACACAAATGTTTTTTACATTTATAATAGCTCTCCACATTTAGCCATAATAATGTGCTTAAAACTTTTGGCCTTACGTTCGGTTTGTAAATTTATTTATGCAAATAAACGACGTGTAGAAGGGATCACTCGGAATTTACTTATTTCATTCTGAATAGTAAATTAAATTCCGTGTAGATTCTATAATCATTTAATCGTATGCAGCGTTCCTAATTAATAATTCTCAACAACTAACTGCGAATCTTTTTATATTAAAATAGAAAACCATAGTAACAATTATTACTTTGTTCACGAATATACGAATGACGGTGACTTACGTCATTATCTTAGGCAAAAACATTCGCTGAGTTGGAGAGATAAATTTGAGATCACGCGTCAAGTAGTTAATGGTTTAAATTTTCTCCATGATGAGAGAGTTGTACATACTGAATTGGTAATATTTTTAAATTAATAAGTCATGATACAGTATGTATATAGATTTATCGGAGTCTCATTTACTTCTTATTTTAGCATCCATATAATATTTTTGTACACGACGGAATTCCGAAAATAGCAAACCTTGGAAACCTTGGAGCATCTAAAATGTATTCTAACGGCAACAATTCATACTCAAAATATAACCCACCTGACTCCTTACGAAAAAAATATATTCGTGACAAGGCCAAGTTAAATATATATAGCTTGGGTGTGTTAATGTGGGAAATAGCACATAATGGTGTCGAACCTTTTTGTAGCAACTATCATATAATAGATGAAACGCCGCTTAAATTTAAAAAGCTATACCAAAAATGTTGGGACAACAATCCTCGTTAGTATTATATAATGTTAATTTATAAAATTGATACATAATCAAGCAAGAATTAATTAATTGACTAATATTAATTATAGATAAAAGACCTGATTGCTCTAAAATTCTTGAGGAATTAAAACATATTGAACAAACATATG